AACTTATTAACACTATCACACTTGATCATAAACAATTTTCTCATTAATTTTAGATGAGACAAAGACATTATATATACGTATAATTTATTGAACCATTTAGATCAAAGTAACATTTCTTCAGTGAAGGCTTAATTTTCTTAAAAGTGAGGGGTACATCTCTATGTTGGGGATATGTTTATCGTATAAAATGGGGGAAGGAAATCAGAAAACTACACAGCTCAGTCCAAACATAATTCAGGTTCTGCAGATTCTGCGGAAATTGGCTTTACGGTGTCCCCACAAGGTAACAAATACTCTGCCGCGCTTCTATACACAAACATCTGTTAGCACAAAATGACTGACTGATTTTATCCGGATTCTCAGTGGGGGACCTGTGTGGTGTGACTCAATTAATTGCACTAATGGAAGTTATCCATGTCTGGCTCCCAACGGCCACAGCTTAGAAGCCCTGCATTACTCTCAATACGCATGGGAGATACTATATTAGCAACCACGGTAACAGTCCTCCGTATATTCGCACTCAGTCAGTTTCTAATTTTTATTCCTATGAATCTCATCTTTAATTTAGTTGTCTCAATTTCTTTCTCTAATCATTTAACATTCGCTTCTATCGTGTTGTGGCATCCTAATGCAGAGGGAGAACTACTTAATTATTGTTTTATATCCCAACGCTGCAAATAAATACTATTATACCCGGAAGATGGAACAATTTCAGATACTTCACAGTAAATCCCAAAATACAATTTGAAGATATAAGAAAATCCTTTTACAAGCTTCTCTAATCACTGTTTTCTCCTCTGTTCTTCTGTTACTTTAGTTTTTTTTTCTTTATTATTTGTAAAATGATTAAGAATAGAAATTAAGATTTGATACGTGTGATATTGTTGTGTTTAAAGCAGCGTTAAACAAACTTCAAAAAAAGATACTTCTTTTTGTTCTTTCTCAAACAAAATTTCAGAATGTGCGATATATTTTCTGACAAACACTCTGTCAAAGTATTAGGCTTAAGTTTACTGCCTTTGACCTGAGGGATTTCCAAACTGCATCCTCATTTTTTCTTACAAAATGTGAAAAAATGTTTTTATTTACATGACAAAAAGTTGGTTGGTTTGCACATCTCAGAACCCTTTGATGACGAATCGATTTAAGTTTTGGTTTTGACGCCCCCTTTTTTGTGGAACTCAATGCATTTTTAATGTAAAGAACAGGAAAATCCTGGGCGGGGCCTAAGGGGCAGTAATGTAAGACATTCCCCTCATTGGTTAGTGCTGACTGTAGCCACAGATGGCAGCTCAATTATTTAGTGTGCCAAGGGACATATTAGGAGAGGGCAGGTTAATTTACAGAGTTGAATCACTTTGAACATTTTGAAATGCTATCAAAAACAGCCCTCTCAACTAGTTTTAGAAAATAGGTAAATGAATAATGTTTTCAACTTTAAAAAATGTTTTGCAAACAAAACTGGCTTTTTAAAATATATAATTTGTTGCAGTTACATTTTTTTTTGTTTGAAAATATCTTTTAATTGAATTTATTCTGTTAATAAAAAAGTGCAAAAACAAATTTCTGTTCACAGTTAAGTTTTACTGGGATTTTGTAATCAAGTTACAACAAACAAAGATCTACATAATTACATAAAGGCAAATGGTACCCAGCTATAATACCTATATGTTGCTATTATAATGTTAGATTTATTACTAGAAAAAAAAAACATTTTTCCAAAAAAAGAGGCAACTTTTAATGTTATATTTTTTGAATAAAAAAATAAATAAAAAAATAATAATAATAAGAAGAAAGACTTCCTGCTGCAGAGCAGCAGTGTCAAATTTGATGGGTATTTTCTGCAGAGACTAGACCAGAGCTGAATCCAGTGTAAATAGAGGGTCAGGGTAATATTTTTGCCAAATTTAAATTCATTCATTTTTTTCCCCACTATTCTTCTTGGCACATGAAGCCATGGTCAGTCAAATTGGATGTGAGCCTCACTTTTCTAAAAGTCTAATTACAGAATCACAGTTGCATGGACTTTGACCGGGCAATACAAGCCAGTGTCATGATGCACAGCTCGTCTCACTTATGATTTCTTTCTGTGAATGTGTTTTCCTGGTTTCCATTCTTTCTGTGCTGAATTTTCAGTTACTTTGCATATACTTTATGTGATGTTTTTTCCTGAGTTCTGTAGGGTAATTGTTTCACTTATTACTAAGTTATTATTTTCAACATGAAGGTCCAGAGTTTCTGTTTGCATTTTGTTCCTACTACAAACGTGACAAGAAGTACAGTAGCTGTCTATTTTCAGCAGTCCCAGTACATATCTGTGTTATGTGTTATTTTAGGTGTTATTTAGCTGTAAATGGGTCACTTTCTTAAATTTCATAATGAAATTACTATTTATTGTTATTTAAATTTCTTCTCTCATATTGTGAAAATTTTAATGTTACATCAAGGGTTGTGTTGCTTTTAAAATGTAGGACTTAACATGTGTATTTTATGTCAGCTTTTTTGTATTGTGGTTTGGTCCAACTGCAGACATGCACTTCAGTTGGAAATAGTAACAGTTAAACCAAAAACTTACAGATGACATGGTGAACAAAAGCAGTATATACCACATGGGAAAGCAGACACAGGTGAGGGAAGGATCGCTGGACATTTGGGAGGTAAAGAGAGGAACCAGTAAAAGGAGAAAACAAGGCCGCTTATAAACAACAGGGACAAAGGAGATTGGGCATGCAGAGTCAGTATAAAGAACCAATGGAAGAGAGTTAAGGCCAGAGCTAAGGAAGAGAGAGAATAATTAGCACTGAAGCTGTACAGAGAAAAACATAAAGAAATGTTAATGTTCTACTATGAACTAAACATTATTAAATCATATAATAAACTAAAATTGCAACACTTAAATAACATACCCAGGAGAGAAATGGAGACAACCAAGACCTCAAAGAAACTGAAGAGCCTTATATTACCATGGTACCATGGTAAAGTGCTCTAAACGGCAAACCTGCTCCAGGTCAGTCTAGCTTTCAGGATTGATCTGGATCCTATAAAACAGGCATCCCCAACCTCGGTCCTCGAGGCCCGCTGTCCTGCAGGTTTTAGAGGTTTCCCTGGTTTAGCACAACTGATTATAATGATTGCAGTAGACCAAAAGCCTGTTAATCAGCTTTCAATTAAAATCAGCTGTGCTGGAGCAAGGATACCTCTAAAACCTGCAGGACAGCTGGCCTTGAGGACCGAGGTTTGGGATGCCTGCTATTCAGCTGTTCAGGTAATTTCATTCAGAGGGCAAATTGTTAGAAAAACATTGAGACGGTAACGTATCTTCCAGGACTGATTTAATCCTTTGGATCATGATGACAGTTAAACTAGTAGCCATTCAAAATTTCCCCATTTTCCTTGATGGGTCATTGGCTGGTCCCCGACAATTCCCTTTTAAACATCAATATTTGTACTAAAATACTCTTTCTGTCATGATATGTGGACATTAAGATCTCAAGAGAGGTGTCATCCCCTGGTCAGACCCTGTTATTTAGTAAAAGAGTAGAGTCAAAGTAAAAAAACATTCATGCATAGGAGAAAGAGGGAGTCACTGCAGTGGCTACCATTCGGTTGGTGTTTGACTGGGAAGGGCCATTTTGAGTGGCTGCTACTGAACTGTACTGTACATACGAACAACACAATTTTTCACTGGTATATATATGTCAAATCCTGGAACCACACTGTATCAAAGAGTAACTGTATGTATAGCTATGTGATATTACGCATAGCCATTACCCATTATTGCTTCATTATAGCTTTATGTACCCTGTCAGGTTAAGAAAAAAAAACACTAGGAAAAAACTGTATTGTTCATGTCAAATGTAACATTGATCATTCCTTTCTGTTAGGTAGACATGAGAGTCTCTACGAGAGTGAAACAAAAATTCTAGTCCTCACAAGAAGTTTTACTATAGTAAGAAAGACGTTGAGGTATTTCTGTACATTTAGGGCTGCATGGTGTTTAAGGGGTTACACTTTTTAAAAGAAAAAAAGTAGATTTTGTCATTTGTCCCTGCTGAGTTCTGACATATCTGAAAAAGCCGGATTTCACTCAGTATAAACACTTCTTGCATAATTAAGATAGAATTGTGGTATCATCTTCCAGCTTTATTGTAGCCATACGTTATTGCATTAAGAGGTCCAACTAGATGAAATTAAGATGAAATTATGTTTTTGTGTTTTATGTTATTTTTCTCTGTTTCCAAGTCCTGTTCACTTCCAAAAGGACATATACAGTACAGTCTTTGATATGCATGGCTTTGTTAAATGACACTGATGTGTAAATTGCGCTTTTACTTTAAGTCAGCAATCCTTTGTCATGTCTTTTGGCAGCTCTTTGATGCCATCACAATATTTTACTTTTCACTGAGACTTTTTTCTTCTTCTTTGTGTTTCTATAAGATGAAATACGGCGCTCTCCCTTTTGTGTTCAGGATTGTGATTGGTGTGCTACCTTGGACCTCCTCCTTTATACGTACACGTTCACTGATTCATGACCAGTTATTGCTGGTTTTAGTTAGTGAGTTCATAAGCCGCTTTTGCAATTATTGTGAAATGGTTAAACTGGATAGGCTGGGAATATTTCCTGATAGGTTGTGCTCGCATTGTTGAACAGGCCTCTGAACTTCCTGACAATTGATATGTTGTTTTAAAATGTCAACAAAATGTTCTACCTGTGTGATAGCATCAATTTTCTCAAAGGTCTCGCATACACCTCTAATATAATGCAGTAAGGTTTCATAAAAAGGCCGCTCTGTAAGTTGTTTTTTTTTTTTGTTTTTTTTTTCAGGAAGGGCAAAAGTTTTGTTTATCACTACTTAAACATTTTTACAAATTTAGATACATTTACCAACTTTGAGCATTTTATTTTTTTTTTACAGGTTCATCTGCCTGTTTAGAAAACTCCTTAAAGCATCTTGAAACAGTTTTTTTCTTAAAGAGTTTCTGTCTGTTTCCCACTTCAGGTATGCGCATCCTGGTGAACCTGCTGCTCGACACTCTGCCCATGCTTGGCAATGTGCTCCTCCTCTGCTTTTTTGTTTTCTTCATATTTGGCATCATTGGAGTACAGCTGTGGGCGGGGCTGCTCAGGAACCGTTGCTACCCTGAAGAGAATTTCACACTGTGAGTGCCCGTCTGGTCTTTGTGTTAGTTTGTGAAACAGGGTGTGAAAAAATGTGATGCTCCAGAATGCAGGACATGTTAATCGATGTGTGTTTCAAATGATGTGGTCATGATTGTGTAAACATATCTTTATGAAAGTGAGTATAGTAACATGCCCTAATTCCATTTTGTAAAAAATGAGTTACTGTAGGAGAGACCCTGGAGCCACACAATATGCCTTTACATACTGTGTCTGTGCCAGTGTGGTTTTCTGTGAAAGTTTTTCTCAGCTCCTCTCATCACCTGACTGGTGAGAAGAATAATTACATCATCTACTCAATTTACTGATATTGCCATAGAAAAAGAGATGAAGGCTCCCTCAGGCTCTCAGTCTGAAGTCCTAACATAATGAGGCTGACCTCATTGTGCAAAGCAACATGTGCACAAAGCAAATATCATTATCTCATAATCAAGTCTGGCACTTAATCAAAAGCTGAAACTTGGTGATTTTTTTAACATAATCTTTAACCTCCTCTTGCAGTGTCAAATGAGAGGTTATTATTAGTCCAGTGGACATGTATTAAACTATGGGGGAGACGTTCTAATTCATGTTTGAGTCAATCAAACAATAAAATAAGAAAAAAAGATTTTAGGATATATTGTGGTTCAGGTTTAGGATTATTTCCTTGCAGTAGGCAGTCCTGGGTTGAATTCAACCTTTTGATTAAATGCTTAGCCTAAAGGGTAGTACTTAACTTTTATAACTTAATAAAAAGTAAAAAATAAATAAATAAATTAAGCCAACAATAATCAATGCAAAATGTGTCATTTTTTTCCTACTAACATCTTTTGTAAAGTTGTTATCATTATTATAATTCTTCATGCCAGTTATTTAACACTTCAGCCCAGAAACAGATATATAGCTCTTTTAAACATTTGGCTTGTTTGTCAGATTTAAAACATGGACCCACTGTTAACTTCATTCTAAAGTCAGATAGTTTTTTTCTTAACTTTCACTGGGAAAAATCGATATCTATATAAGTAATTTTTTCCTTAAAATAAGTGTGTTTTTTCTTGAATTGAGGGGGTAAGTGAAACACTTTGCTAATGGAACGAGACAATTTACCTTATTTTAACAGTCAAATTTCTCATTCCATTGGCAAATCATCTTATCAACCTACTCAAAACAAGGGTAAATACACTTAATTTAAGACATTTTGACTTATTTCTAGATCGTTTTTGCAGTGTATAAATTTTATTACTTCACGACTCAGAAACTCCATTGATTGTAGGATTGACAAGTCTCTCCTTTGTCATCCTAAACTTGATCAAAATTCAGCTGCCAATTTGCAAATGGGGAAAAGATAAAATCGTTCTATGGTCTCCTTGGAATGTGCTCTTAAGATGTTCCCAGGATTTGCTCATGACGGGAGACTGAACTTTTTCCGCTGCAGTTCTTAGACACAGGAACATTCTTCCTTCTTCTGTAAGTTTTGCTAGAACCTAAAATGATTTAAACCAAACCTTTTTGAAAAGGTTTGATCAAGTGACACAGCTCAAACAGGGAACAAATGACAATATTAGGTATGACAATAACTGAACGCTGTATTATTAAACAATGGGTTAAACAAAATTTAAACAGAAGTTTTTCTGTCAGCTTGCTTATATTTAAGATTTAAGATGCAGGCAGATATAGTATGTTCTGATATACACCTATATCAGACGGATTTCTGACATTCCTACAGAGGTCCTTTTTGAAAAGCAAATGTAATTGAAAACTAAGTTTGTTAGCCATGAAATCCGGAAAACTAAGTTAAGTTTATGAGCGCAGTCAGCAGTATCTAAAGAGGCGATATTTTTTCAGACACAGAAGAACAAGTTCCACTTGTACAATACTAATCTGAATCTGAAAGGTACGGCTATATTGTATGTCTTAATTTTCTATGATGGAGTTAAAATAGACATAACAGTGTTTTATTTTAGACTAACTCAGTTTTACCTAGCAAGTGTTGGCTTAAACAAAAGAGGCTATTTGATTTGACTATAAATGTGAAAAAAAGTATAAACTCTAATATATTATTTATCCATCTTTCGTTCAGGAATAAAAACAATTGCTTACATCTTACCTGTCAACATTTGAAGAAATTCTGAATTAGAAGCTGGAATACTGAACAGGTGTTGTTTGTTTCCAAAAAGTCTATTAGGAGTACAGCTAATACAACTGTAATGGAAGTGTGTGAGTGCCTGGGGAGACTAAATTCTTAGCCAAGCGTTTGATTAGTCTGGTTTAGCAGCACAGAGCAATGGGATACAAAGCAGTTTGCATCACCAAGCCTAGTGAGAAAATAATGATATGGTAAAAAGCTTTAGGGTAGGTCATCACCATAGTAACTCTGTCATAAATGAGATGGTGAGACAAAAATAGACTGCAATTATGGGGTGTCCTACCCTTAAAAATAATTGATGTCATCCAAAGATAGTAAAGATGTTTTTTTGTTGTTGTTATTGTTTATGTTGTTTCCTTCCATGACGAATTCTAAAACTGAAACTGACCGCAGTTCTCAGAACCAAAAATGCGAGCTATAATAACTCAAAATTTTAAATGTTTATTCAGCTATCCATCAATTCTACTGGAACAAAAAGGATACAAATCTTAACTGCTGCACTTAGTGATCTTCATATACAAAGACATTTCCTGAGTCAGTTTAATAATGAGATAAGATAGTGAGGCTGAATGTGGGTCGTATCACATACAGAAGTGGTACAGTAGACATGATGGATGGTTTACCTAATTTACTTCTGTTGTTCACTCGCTGTTTCCAGAGCTGTGACAAAAATACAAAAAGCAGAAGCCACAGGTGGTCCACAGGAAATCATATCTATAAAATCAGTTCCGTTGATGCAGACTCACAGCTGCAAAGCTAATACTTTCTTAATGCATGCATAAAATGCTAAGTGCATTGTGGAAGCATACTGTATGTACAGGTGCTGGTCATAAAATTAGAATATCATGAAAAAGTAGATTGATTTCAGTAATTCCATTTAAAAAGTGAAACTTGTATATTATATTCATACATTACATACAAACTCATATATTTCAGATGTTTATTTTGTTTAATTTTGATGATTACAAATGACAACAAATGAAAATCTCAAATTCATCATATCAGAAAATTAGAATATTACTGAAGACCAATAAAAACAAAGGATTTATAGAAATGTTGGCCAACTGAAAAGTATGAACATGAAAAGTATGAGCATGTACAGCACTCAGTATTTAGTTGGGCCTCCTTTGGCCTGTATTACTGCAGCAATGCGGCGTGGCATGGAGTCGATCAGTCTGTGGCACTGCTCAGGTGTTATGATAGCCCAGGTTGCTCTAATAGTGGCTTTTAGCTCTTCTGAATTGTTGGGTCTGGTGTATTGCATCTTCTTCTTCACAATACCCCATAGATTTTCTATGGGGTTAAGGTCAGGAGAGTTTGCTGGCCAATTAAGAACAGGGATACCATGGTCCTTCAACCAGGTACTGGTAGCTTTGGCACTGTGTGCAGGTGCCAAGTCCTGTTGGAAAATGAAATCAGCATCTCCAAAAAGTTGGTCAGCTGCAGGAAGCATGAAGTGCTCTAAAACTTCCTGGTATGTGGCTGCGTTGACCCTGGACCTCAGAAAACACAATGGACCAACACCAGCAGATGACATGGCACCCCAAACCATCACTGACTGTGGAAACTTTACACTGGACTTCAAGCAACGTGGATGAAGTGCCTCTCTTCTTTTCCTCCAGACTCTGGGACCTTGATTTCCAAAGGAAATGCAAAATTTACTTTCATCAGAGAACATGACTTTGGACCACTCACCAGCAGTCCAGTCCTGTTTCTCTTTAGCCCAGGCAAGACGCTTCTGACGCTGTCTGTGGTTCAAGAGTGGCTTGACACAAGGAATGCGACAGCAGAAACCCATGTCTTTCATACGTCTGTGTGTGGTGGTTCTTGAAGCACTCACTCCAGCTGCAGTCCACTCTTTGTGAATCTCCCCCACATTTTTGAATGGGTTTTGTTTCACAATCCTCTCCAGGGTGCGGTTATCTCTCTTGCTTGTACACTTTTTTCGACCACATCTTTTCCTTCCCTTCGCCTCTCTATTAATGTGCTTGGACACTGAGCTCTGTGAACAGCCAGCCTCTTTAGCGATGACCTTTTGTGTCTTGCCCTCCTTGTGCAAGGTGTCGATGGTCGTCTTTTGGACAACTGTCAAGTCAGCAGTCTTCCCCATGACTGTGTAGCCTATAGAAGTAGACTGAAAGACCATTTAAAGGCTTTTGCAGGTGGTTTGAGTTAATTAGCTGATTAGAGTGTGGCACCAGGGGCCATCAATTTTGAACCTTTTCACAATATTCTAATTTTCTGATATGATGAATTTGAGATTTTCATTTGTTGTCATTTGTAATCATCAAAATTAAACAAAATCAACATCTGAAATATATGAGTTTGTATGTAATGTATGAATATAATATACAAGTTTCACTTTTTAAATGGAATTACTGAAATCAATCTACTTTTTCATGATATTCTAATTTTATGACCAGCACCTGTAAATTGTTAGAGAAATCCTTTTCTTTGAACTGAGCATTCTAAGTAGTTGTCTGAGAAAAGTGAAATAATATGATGGCTGTTTGAAAATCTTATGACAGTATGGAAATTTAATAAAAGTCCAGATAAAGATAGTTTAGTAGCCAATATTTTTATTTTTTTAGGAATATTGAATACAATTTGCCATTTTTTAAAGGGGAGCTAAACCCCAAAAAACATTTCACTCAGATACACATGCTTACAATTAGTAAAAAGTTGTAATTGTGAGCATTCCAAGCATGGGTCGATAGTATCTTGCAGGTGAGCAAGATTATTACCTATTATTAAGCATAGCATTTTAAGTTAAGTACTGTCCTTAGATCATGGCTTGGCAATTATAGGTCATAGGGCCAGTAACCTGTAGCTTCTAGAGTCACTGGTCCAACACTCCATGATCAAGTAATAAAATGATAAAATGATTCAGCCATTTGAATTAGGTGTGTTGGACCAAGGATGAATCTTAAAGGTGCAAGATATTGACCTATAGTTGCCCATCTCTGGGCAACTATAGGTCTTTGGTATGTCTTTCATCCATCTGGCTATTTAGTTAGTTTACTATAACAGCTTTTGTAAGACATTTATTGTTTTTTTTGTGTTGGGTCTTATTTTGTTTTCACTGTGGTGCTTGTCTTCTAATACCTAGCTATTTTGCTTGAAAAAACAGCTGCAGATAGAGATCTTCGAAATGTGCCATGTAAATAAATTATCTATCTATCTATCTATCTATCTATCTATCTATCTATCTATCTATCTATCTATCTATCTGTCTGTCTGTCTGTCTGTCTGTCTGTCTGTCTGTCTGTCTGTCTGTCCGTCCGTCCGTCCGTCCGTCCGTCCGTCCGTCCGTCCGTCCGTCTGCCTCTGGACAAAATGTTTGATAAACCCTCGTTTATTGAAAGAAAAACAGGAAATGGTCAAAGACATAAGTTAAGTCTGCCATAATTAATAAAGATAAAAATTATATGAATATGAACAAATGAAAGTCAGACATTGCTTTTTAACATGCTTCAATAGAATGATTTTAGAAACAAAAAGGATTGAACATTTGACTTTGTCTTCTTTTGCAAAACTTTTTGATGCAATCAAAGGATTCCTGTAACTTTCAGTGAGATGTCTGTTCCTCTCAGCAGTGTATTTTGGTCCAATCAGGATGAGACTACTGTTCCAGTTGTCTCAGGTTTGATGGGGGCCATTTCCAAACTTTCCAAAACATTTCTTAATATGTGCAGCTGTAGTCACAGGAACATCAAGCTGCTTGGATATGGTCTTATAACCTTTACCTTTAACATGCCTGCCTGTTTGTTTTTGAGAGACAACTAATTTCTTCACTTCCTCCAGTCCATGTTGAGTGTGGTATACACCATGTCACTTATCAGTCTAATAGTTGATAAGCAATGTCCAACTTTCATTTGTTCATTTCCTTTGGATTTTTAGTAATTTATTTTTTATTTTTTGTTAGATCAGATTCAAGTTATTTCTATGACCCTTTTGGCTTTTACTTTTATTAGAGGGGTGCCAACAATTTTGTTGATGTGTAATATATAATTGGATATGTATGAAACTTTGTCCCTGGAATGGTCCTACAAAATTATTGAAATGTTAGAACTCCACTGCTGTAAACTGCCCAACAAAATGAAAATAATTAAATTAAATCCACCAATGTTAAATGTAGGGTGAGGTGGAACAAAAACTTAGCACTTGGTTTTAGTATTATCCTTTTGCTAGATAGTATTACCAGAAACAAACATTTGGAACTTCTCTTTATCCATAGCTCAGACTCAAAGGAAAGAAATTTTGAAATGTATTCTGTTGTTTCTTTTTTCTTTTTTTTCTTTTTTTAATAAAAGTGTATAATTTTTTTTTTATCTCTACTGCATATGTCAAACCTAAAAAAAAAATGACTGAGCTTTGAATTGTTTTGGTTCATTTAAATAATTTCCACATGGATGAGTAAAAGCTTTAAAATAAATTCAATAAAAACTTATAAAATATCTTAAACAATTTTTAGAAAGGAAGATAAATTTTACGGCATACTAATACCAGCACTTAGAGTTGACATTTGAAAGTGTTTGAGTGTGTTAGTGTAGTCAAAATACAATGTGAACACTGGTATTAAGTATTTAAGGCCAAAAATTCCAGCTGTATTGTCCGTGGTGAACCAGACTTAGGGATTTCTTTCAACCGGAAGTCAGGATGATAATTACTCCTAGCTTTAAGTCATTTGCTATATACTCCAGACACAAACAAACAAACACGCAACACTTCTAGGACATCTAGGTACTTGGGGATAAGTACTTGCGTAAGCATATAAGCATATAAAATTAATGTATATGCCTTCTCTTAAAATATTTTTGAGCAGAACAAACTTTGTAAAACCCCCATATAAACAATCAAGCAGAGCATTGTGGTTTAAAATGCTGTTCAGCTGCTCAGCTGAATTAGGGGTATTTTCAATTTTGTACCATATACAGTAATAGAGTCTAGAAAAGAGATAAAGAAAGCTTATGAGAGACAAAAGGCAAGGACATTCAACGTTTCTTCCGTCGAGCCATTTCACACACAATGTCAGGTATAATTGCTAAAATGTCTGCATTTATCAGTATGATTTCTTTTTGTTCTGCCCTTTAGATAGAAACTACCATACTAATGTCAGATCACAGATAACACAGCTTTTCTTTGTTATTATTCCTTAGCTTTCTTTTTTTATCCTAATGCTCAGGTGTCTTTCAGCTCATTTCTATTTTTTCACGTAGAACTTATTTTGAATATCTTTCTTTCTTTCTTTCTTTCTTTCTTTAATTTGTGGTGTTTTATAAGAGATTCTTAAGTCTAAATGAGCACAAAAAAGGGTTATCGATCAGTTGTTTATGCTCAGGATAGAATATTTATTAGTCTTTACTACTGGATAAGTATATGTAAGAATTGTTTTATTATTTTGATGGTTGTCTAAAAAAAAATTGAAGGATGAATAAAATAGGTCAGGCAATGTATGAATCATTGATTTCATGGGTTGTGCAGTTGGTCAGATAGCTCTTTGTGAGCCTGATGTTTCAACAGTGTGAAATGATCAATCTGACTGCAAGGAAAATAGGCAGAGTACAAAATACAATGTTTGGCACAAAGTGTAACTACTATAAATGGTGAACCACTGAAACACAAATGCTGGTAAATAGTATCTGACAGTGTAGTTGTATATTTCTCTCTGTCTGATTTTGTTCATTTTTACCATTACAAATATGAGTTCCCTCCACCTCTGTGTCTCCCCATCCTTTCATCCACTTATCTCCTCTAAGAGTATACTATGCTGTGTTCCAATATCAAGCTGCAGAGCTACATAAAATAGCCTTTATAGGCAAGCAGTTTTGCCGGCACAGAAAAATAAAAGTACGAGAGTCCACTCAAAGTCCACTTCAGTGTATGTAAAAACGTTTTTTCTGTATTTAGAATCCATGAATTTGAATCATTTAGGTATAGTTAATGTCAAATGAAAAGAGTCAATGGAGCCTGTTATTTAAAATCTTTTAAAAACTGAAATTCGGCTAAGATAATATGAAACGCGGCTGTCTCAGAAAAATCTTTATTAAAATATTCCATTAACAGCAACATTTTCTTTAAATAATTGTCAGTTTTTTTTATTGTAAGTCACTATCTATGTAAAAAAAAGAAATACAATAATGTATTTCCATCATTTACTTTTGCTCTTTGAATGTTGCTTTTATCATCCTTAATATAGATTGGAGTTTGCTAACTAGAGAGAAAAACTGGGATGTAATCTCTCCATCCATTTTCACACTTCATTTAAATCAGTGCCATGTGGGCTATTTGCAGTAAAATTGTACAATGTACGTAATCAGCGTTCTATAGCATTGTTACTGAGGGCCACCTAAATCAGTCATCCATTTTTTCTTAGAATTCTTGTCTGTTATACATAGAGCTTTGCTTCAACTGTTTTAATAGTATTGTGTAAAAAACATATTATTAAAGGTGATGCAAGCTTCTTAAGATAAAAGTAATACTTTTCATAGACTGAAATACAATTTTTCAAGCAATGCACTAAAGTTTAATTAATCTTCCATTATCATTATTTCTGCACAATTTAAGAACATTGGATTAAAAAAAAAAAGAAAGAAAGGAAACACAGACAGCAGACTAACAGGTTCGATCATGAGTTTAGATATAAAATAAGGTTTAAAATAACAGAACTAGGACCACTGGCCAATACCTGAGATGAAATCAGAATCCGAGGTCTTCGCCGGTATTTACTTCCAACATTTCTTTAAAGAGACATTTCATTTTCATCAAATCAATGACATTCATGCCATTGGCTTTTTACTTGGCTTACTTTCCTTGTTTTTTTCTAATTTATCATATTTTTTATTCAACCCTTCCAGCACCACGGGTATCAGTCTCCCTAGACCTTACTACATGGCTGATGAAGATGATGAGCGGCCTTTCATTTGCTCCTTGCCTGTTGACAACGGCATCATGTCCTGCTTGGATGTCCCAGCCCGTCGTGAAGGAGGCAGAGCCTGTTGTTTGGATAAAGAGGACGTTTTCTACCGCCAGTCCATTGGATTGAGTCCTGAACCTCTGAGCAATGGGAGTATCAGTGTAGCTGGCCTGTGTGTCAACTGGAACCAGTATTACACCCGATGTCATACTGGGAGCAGTAACCCACACAAAGGTGCTATCAATTTTGATAACATTGCCTATGCCTGGATTGTCATATTTCAGGTGAGTACTTTAAACTTCTACAAAATCTTTATCTCTCTTTCCCTGTATTTTTTGTTTAAAACCTTATTTACCCAGAATTATTGGATTATACCCCTTCCTTTCAGAGGTTCATGACAAGACATTATCCTGGTTTTAATATTTAGGTGGGCTCAAGTATTTGACGAGCCATTTCAAGCGCTTCAAGTGGCTCCATGGATTAAAAGCTTGGAACAAAATTGCTTGTGAATCACAGGCAGCAGAATATAAAGCGGGCCAGAAAAAAGTGGCAGCATAAAATTACCTTGAATGTTCTTTGAAAAGTTTAACACAGATAAAATTGTAAAAAAACAAAACATGATTCTTGTCAGTTTACCTCTGGATAGTGATTTATACCATTTACAGTCTGATCCTACATTAATTCACAGATTAGAGAATAAAATAGCATTACGCCTTGATGACTATTTTTGTTTATTAAAAGGCGCTCAAACTAATGTAATTGTACATATTTAACAGTATTTTTCTTTTCCTTTTAAGCAGGGCTAATATTACCGTATTTCTGTACAGTTCTGTCTTCAAAGGGCTGTTCAAATTGCTTCATGTTTTATTTCTTTTTGGGATAGATTTCCATCAAACATGATTATTATTAATATTATTAATGATTTTCTAACCAATTGTTAGTGATCTCCCTGGAGACTTTCCTTTTCATTCAAGAGGACATTTTGTTATCAGAGTATGTTCATGAAATAGTTTAGGCAACTGTGACATATAGCCAAAAGGCTGTGTATACATCTGTATTGACATTGTACATAAAATGCATGATCAAACTATGGATTCTTAGAATTAAGACTATGCCTAATTTGCTGAGTAATCTGTTTTTTGACACTCCCCGACAACCAGATAAATGCTAACTGAATGTATGTAGAAAAATATTAACCCATAATAAAATTTTACTCCTTACCATTCCTTTATTTATTTACTACTGCATGAAAATAAATGCTGTTATTTTTTGGACGCAACAGCCAAGTTATGTAAATGCTGTTCATTTTAATGTTTACAATATATAATAGATAGGTTTTGGTATTTAGCATTTATTAAGCATTTTTAAGTACAGGTAGAATTTGTATCAACTGACCTTAACAAAACAAATACTTAATTTTCAATGCATTTAGATGGGAAATAACAGGTGTATTTACTTGGATTTAATTGTAGTTTAGGGGTATACAGTAGATACAGACAGACAGACAGACAGACAGACAGACAGACAGACAGACAGACAGACAGAAATAAAGGTATAGGTACATATATACTTTTTTGTATAAATTTGTGTGTATCAGTGTGTGTTTGTAAGAGAGAGAAACAGAGAGATAGAAGCTTTACTAATTCACAGCTAAAAAAAACAGTCCTTTTCCAATCTGTGTCAACATTTGGTCCGCGATGTAAATTGTAGGAGCAAGATTTAGTCACAAAAAAAGGCTGCTTTATTCAACTAGTTCTTTGTTATTCAATCAGACCTGATTTCAGCCTTTTGCCAGAAAAGCTGTATTGACTATGAAAATGAAAAGAGGAAAACCAGAGGAGTTGGCTAGTTCTGTTACTTAAATGTTTTATTGTTTCAATAAAAGCTGTATTTAGCTGTAAAATAATAAGAAAAGAAATACAGAAGATTGGAATTTATTTTGAGTTGTGTGTTTTTCTTTTCCTTTAGGTGATTACTCTGGAGGGATGGGTGGAAATTATGTACTATGTTATGGATGCGCACTCTTTCTACAACTTTATCTACTTCATCCTGTTGATAATAGTAAGTCTTTTCTATACTTTGTTTCAACAAAAATGTTGAACGCATATTTTCATTGACCAAGTTTATGTTTATGCTTGATAAAAAGCTGAATCATAAAACTACATGTAAAATCAGTTCGCGTAGTCAGACATTCATATTAAGTAGCAATTTTGACAGATACGACAAAAGTTGTGGGCTTTTATTTATTTACTGAATAACTCCTTTTATGATGGACCACATACATAACAAGCTAAATACTTTTTTTAAAACAATTGTGTTTTTTTTTCGCTTTTTTGAATGCTTACACATTCATATTTATATAGAGAGAATTATGCATTCACAACTACAAATATAGAGATAAAAATCGTTTAGTAAGATATAGCAAAAACACTTCATGAAATGAGAGTTGCTGTAGGACTTTTAATAGCAGAGAAGAGCTTTGGCATAGTGTTATCCATGAGGGCAATTGAATTAAAAAAGAAAAACTTAAAAATTAATAGTGTAAGAAGGAAAAAAGGATTGAATCGTCATTGAACTGAAAGTACCAAGGTAACTGGCATGAAGCAGCAATACCAACATGGAGCAGCCAAAGAAAACAATTTACCAATGAGCAACCAAGTGTTTCAATTCTGGAAGAGATTGAAAGAAGACATGGTAAGCAGGTGAGACAGTAAGAAGTAAGCAACAACTGAATTAAGGCAGAGCTGTGGGAGAACGAATCTATAAACATAAGAACTCAGAATATAATCAACTATGAATTAACTAAATGACAGCATTTAGACTAGTGTGACTAGTGCAAGACAGATGTTTGTCCCAGCAAGAGTCAATAACTCACATGCAATCCAAAACCAGTCTATGCTGTGGAAACACTGGTATTCCTGTTACCTTAAAGCTCCTATTTAATTGTTACTTGATTATTACTTGCTGTATTGTGTTTAATGTTTTCTTTTTTTTTTTTTTTATCTATTGGATCATGAGTCCGGAATAAAGTTGATCCATAACAAAGAATTAACAGAGCCAATTAAGACACACAAAAAAACCCAACTTATAATATAAAGCACAAATGAAATAAAACCAAAGTGGCAAAACTGACAACAGAATATTGGAAGATCTTCTTTTCTATTTCAAGCCATGCAGTGGTCTCTCAGGAGATAATGACCAATGCGTAACATTTTTAAGATGAAATACGAATTAATAATATTGAAGTTTTGGTTAGCCCATGTCTCCTTGTACTTGTAGATTTTCAGCTCCTGTGCTGCTAAACCATGGCTCCTCTTGTCGGAGTCTCTCCTTTAGTAAAGACAGCCAGATATTCAGCTTTAATTACCTGCATTATCTATGGTTAAAAGAGATATGATCATCTAAAGCTTATTGCAGCGGAGGAAAAGAGGATTGAGGAGGAGTAGAAAGCTCACCAGGAGAAGTAGAGGATTGCCAAGCAACTAGCAGAAGCAAATGGAGAAACCATCCTGAAGTAAAGCAGTGGACGTCTGATATATCCTCATCCTTGGGCACTTTCTACCCTCCTCCTCCACCCTACCCCAGTGGTTCACTGTTACAATACAATCAATACACCCTACCCCCTATGAAGATCCAGTACCTATTTGGATCCATCAGAAATAAAGTGTTTCCCTCAGATTCTGCATCGCTCAGAAATAAAATTCATCTTTCTTTTGAAGTGGTGTCATAAGAACAGAAGAAAACTAAATATTTGTTGTATATTTCCCTTATAATATACAATAATATATAAATAAAATATATAATATACAATAATAACTGTTCATTCTATTAAAGAAGAACCTGTTGACCAGGGAAATCTGATCAACACATTTCAGATCCTCACTCTTTGTACAACATAATGAACAGTTTAAATGAAAAAAAAGAAGAAAAAAAAAAGAATTAGACGTATTTATTTAATACCCTCCCTGCCAGCTTTCTTATTGCTGTTCTGACGTATGTTTCCAATCTTTACATTGTTGGATCTCTTAGTTGTATCATAGTTTCAACTGCCTAATGCCTAAGCTAAAGATATCGCATTGTTCAATATTTAATTGATAATGAAATTGGTGCATTTAAAAAACATTTTCTTGTTAAATGCCATACATTCATTTTATATACTATAAAAATACTGTTTCTAAAAACAGCATAAAAATGCATAAAAACTTGAGCAAAATCAGCTATAATATTTTAACGTGAGATAAAAAAAAAACATTAACTGGCTTTAAGTTTGCCCTGCGATGGACTGGCGACCGGTCCAGTAGGGATGGGAATCGAAAACCGGTTCCTGTTCAGAACCGGTTCCGTATTTTCCGATTCCATGGCATTGTTTGGCAGCTCGTTGAACGATTCTTTTTTCGATTGCCGCAGCACCAGAGCCTAGAGCGCCGGCTCTGGGGAGCACGACTTACGTCACGTTTTTTACGTAAGTTACGTAAGTTAAGCAAGTTACGCAAGTTGGAAGAACTATTCGAGGAGGAAGACAACGAGCTGCGGTCACTTTGTGAATCAAAGCCCCATCTTTCCTTAGCCCAGAGGGTAGATCAGGAAATCCAGCTCTATAAAAGCTTGCCCTCCATCCCCTGCAGGGATAGCGCCACACTGTGGTGGTGGAACAAGCAAGATACGCTGCCCTTGCTATCTGGACTGGCTGAAAACTACCTCTGTGTGCAGGCTTCCTCCATCCCATCTGAGAGGGTGTTCTCCACGGCTGGAGACACCATAAGCCCTGAAAGATCCTGTATCCTTCCAGAAAAAGCAGATATGCTCATCTTTCTGCAAAAGAACTGTTAATTTTCCCTACTACTCTTTTATAATTAGTATTTTTTGTTATTTAAAATAGGTTATTATCCCATCATTTGTTATTAGACATTGTTGGTTATTAAGTTTGTTCTTGTATTCATTTTTCATTTAAACACAGATGTTACTCCAGTTTCACATTTCCTGCGGACATCTTGATCTTGTTGAGTTTGTAAGATTGTGCAATAGTTAAGTAAACAAAGTTGATGCTGATAATCAAATTGTTTGTTCTCCTTTTTCCCCCAAATTGGAATCGAAAAAAGAATCGATAAAGAATCGAATCGTTTCATAGAATCAAAAAGGGAATCGGAATCGAGAAAATCTTTTCAATTCCCAACCCTACTGTCCAGGGTGTACCACACCTCTTGCCTATAGACAGATAGGCAGCAGCACCCCTCGCGACCCAGCTTGGGATAAGTGTGATGGAAAGTGGAAGGATGAATTCCAGTTTCTATTTATTTATGATATTACTTAACAGTAAGCAATTGTAAAGTGTTTCAGCTGAACCCACTGGGTTGGATCATTTGTAAATATCTCAAATTCTAGGTGCTCATGAAAGCACCTGAAACATGTTTAAATGTTTTTAGGGTCGATCTAATATAACTGCATGTTAGTTAAAAAGTTATTTTTTAAAAAACAGTTTCCTGTGAAATAGGCCTCCAGCAAAGATGGGCCAACTAGTCATACAAAATGTCTATCGGCTATGGACGGCCAGGCTGGGTATTGTTATTCACTTTATTTTATGTTTCAAAAGCTAAACAGATATGTCACCTATCTTTTTCACAAATAATTGTTTTATTTGCCCATGCTGCTAGGTCAGTTGTGTGTGACTTTCTTAAATGATAGGTGGACTGTCACTATAAGTTTGTGTAATGCATTAGTGTGGTAGTAAAACAGAGCTTGATGATGCTGCCAACGCCCTTCTAATGAGAACACATTTATGGAAGATTTATGTTATGACGGTAACTTGGAATTATTAAGTCATTGAAACAGGAAAGGATGAAAATGAGTGGATCTAAAACTAAACTGTATGTTTTTGCTTTTTTTTTTACAACATGCTAAATCTAATTATCAAAATTGAAGAAAATAATGCAGATGTAAATATTTAATGATATAGGTGGGAATTAATTTGGCAGTTGACAGGTATTGATTGATTCTTTTGTCCTCTGTGTCTTACCTGCATGCATAGCGATGCGTGCCCCCTCACAAATCCCTGCAAACACATGCAGTCTGTCAGTGTCACAGTGAGAGCTGAGCTAAAATCCCTAAAGAATCCTCCCTTTTGTTCACATAAAACACTTTTAATTCCAGTCCTTTAGCTTCTCTATGTGTGCCACAGTATGCGTTTGTGTCTGAGCGTTGATGCGTATTTTCCCTGGTATATTTCTGTTTTAGCCTGTTGGAGAGTGCTTAGATATATGTGTGGAAGTGTTATCATAATGCAGCGTGACTGCTAGCTCCAGCTACTCTGCTACCCAGGGGCTGTCTTGTCTTTTTTATTAGACTTTTAATTGCCTCGCCTTCTGAGGCAGACACGAGCCTTTCCACACTTTTACTCTCTCTCCTATTTTCTCACCGTCTCTTCATTCTTTAACTTGTCACTTCTCCTAGTATCACTCCAGCTTCCTGAATCTGCCAATCTCTGCTCTCTGCACTATCTAAACATTTCAGACTAGTAACGTTTCCCCCCCAACTCTACCCTCTCTCTCCTCAAGTCCATCTTCCATACCCCTTTCTCCTGTGAGAATTACTATTTCTTTGTACCTTTTTTTGTGTTCTCTGTTTTCTAGCACCCCTCTTAGTCTCTTTTGCTGCCGTCTTTTCATCTTTGCTTTCTCACATTGCTGTACAAGCAGGCACTATTCATGTAGCTGTCACTCTACTGTTTATTGTCAGCAAGCAGAAACCCATGAAGATACTGTCACAAACAAAGACACTTTCAAAGTTATTTTCTCACACACGCAGGGAAGAGAATACAATCTCACTGTCTGTTTCTGATTTGCTATTGGACATTATCCATCACATCAAACCATCAACATTGCCTTGCTACAGACGATTGGTGAGATAATAGTTATCTTTTGATGTGAAAACATTGTGTGTGAAGGATGATGGGAGGATAAAGAAGAGGAAAGAAATAACCAAAGGCATGAGTTAGAATCTATGGAAATTAAAACAGAAAATGATGATGAAATCTCTTTGAAAATAAAAAGAAGGAAGAATAGCCA